CAACCTTTAGAAGAAAAAAAAAGGTCTACTATTATTTAATCATCAAATCTTTAATTTGTACTTCATGCATTTAATCCTTCCCTTGACTTTAAAAAAAAAATTTATTGTTGTTTTCTCTAAATTAAACCAATAAAAATGAATAAATTCAATTTCATCGGTAAAACATAGAATAAACACATCAACTATATGTTCATCTCCTTCTCTAAACTTGTTGTATATCGTGGCTGTTTAACAGACTTACTAAAATTTGCTTTTCCTACATCTTCATGCACGGATATTTGAGAGAATGGGAGGTTAGGAATTTTGCTTCTACTAGGAATAGGAGACTGATGAGTATTGAAAGGGAGAGGAGAAGAAAATATAGAATAGGAGAGAGAACAATGCTATATGAACTGAAGTTTATCTACCCCAAATGCTTCCCATCACATAACTAAGAAAATTTAGCGCTATATTATCCAACCCACACAAAATTGTTAGGAAGATGGGCCTTAATATTAATCGAATCGAATTGCCTTTTGAAAATAAGATTATGCCAACTGTTTAACATTGAAGTTCTGCTATCCTTTAGAGGAACTTTTGAGCCTCTTACAATGACAAAAAGTACTCTACAGGTGGAGTTCCTACAATTGTGCTGACACCTCCCATGTTTGTCTTGTCGATTGGCCAACCCCCCTCTACCAGCATTAAGAAGCGAATCATTATAGATGAGATTAATACTGGCCTTTCTAAAAGTAGCACTTCATGTTTTATTAGCACAAGTTCTCTCTTGAGTATGACTCATAAATTCACATTAATTAGCTATGATATATGGCCCACACTCTCTTGGATGAGTATCTCCAGCTCCACACTCCGAAGTAGAGCTCCTTTCACCTTAGTAGAGTTAATGCAGTCCTAGACGTCGACCCAGCAGCATCAACAAACATGTGATCCTTGATTACTGATTGCAATTTTTTTAATAATGAGATTGAACACATTTGGCATTTTAGCAAATGGTGTATCCTTTTGTCCATCTTGCCAAAGTTCCACTTTATGCATTCCCATCACAAAGTAATTTTACGGTTAGTGGGAGTTTAATTAAGTGAATCCCTCTAATTATGTCTCTTGCATTCCACCTCTCTCCACATAAACCAGCTAAACCTTCTGCCCATGATCCCCAAGTACTCTTCAAGCTCCTCTTCTGTTCTCCTCATCTCTCACTCTCCTCCTCTTCCTCTTGTATTCTTACTCAACCCAATTCTCCTTTTCCCCAATTAACTAGATCATATCATTCTGTCCAAATGTTCATACCTGAGTCACTCTGAAAAATTCTAACAGCTTCTCAGCTGCTCCTCGAAAGGTTTGTTGTTCTCACTGCCTTCTCCATTAAGAGTTTGAATAGATCGAGGGAATGATGAATATTTCATCCAAACTCCATTGATACAGCATCAATTCTCCTCCAGTATGTTCCAAGTAATAAATCCTCATCTGCTTAACTGTGCGTAACTGAAATTCTCAAGCAAAGACAAGCATAAAACTCTTCTCGCTGTTTAACCGAATGTCTTCCAAGATGCAACAAACACAAATGACAAAACTTTAAAATTTCCACCTTGCAGGTTAATTGGATTCTTTAATAGAAATATAACACCAAATTAATTCTCATCTCACACAATGGCCATTATAATGGCTACAATAAGTCAATATGATATCCGGAAAAGGTTAAAAGGTAGAGCTTAAAAACAGGAAATATTCAATACCAAACGGATTACCTCCCATCCACGACGGCGTCATAGACAAAAGAGACCAGGTACTCCTCCGGGTTCAGCACATCCGCTTCTAATCGAATCATGTCTTTATGCAAATTAACATCATTTTTTATCGTCTTAGCGTTTTGGTGCTCAACATAAGGGGGTGGCGCAACCACTATCGATGAAGATGATGCCGCTGAGAAAGATGTATAGGGCGGCATGGCGGCCGGAGGCGGTGGGCCAGCAGAATTCAACCACCCATTCCCCTGATTTGGACGGTAATAAGACGGGAAGCTGTTATTTACCCAGGACTCAAAAAATCTCATCAGTCCATTGTAGCTGCTGCTTGGCTGCGGTTGGTAAGCGTAGTAGTACGGACCTGCAGGCGCTGGAGGGGGATTGTAATTAGGGGCGCTGAAGTTAGGTCGAGAGGAAGGATTATAAGGAGGATTTAATGGTGGCTGTACAGGAGGAGGAGGAAGTGGGGCATGTTGAGGATATGTTTGACGGTAGTCGTCGCGCCTCCTGCTGCGGCTAGAGGATTGGCCCATGGAAGGTTCGACAGATTTCCCCTCCGATGCCTATTAGGTTTCCTTGCCTCCCTTGACGGAATGAAGAAGCTGAACTTATCTGAAAAAGAGATTCTTTTCCGGAAAAGACGGAGAGGAAAGATATGTTGAGCCGAAGAAGACGACTGCTTGGTCGACGGCGCGCTCAGTTTCCGTCAGTATGAACGCTCGTTGTTATAAACTGGAAACGCGATAAAAATGGGTAGACATTGACCAAAGTTTCGTTAAAATGAGTTTTTAAAACACAGCTCAGCTGTTGGTTGATAACTTAGGTTTTTAATTAAGAGATTTTAAATTTGAAATTTATGTATGCATTATATTGTGTGTGTGAATTTGTCTTAAATAAATTAAATGTCTCAAAAAAATTTGAGTTTTAAAATTTAAAATTTTATTTTAATATGAATATAATATATAAATAATTTATTTATTTTTTATTTTAAAATGAAATTGTAGATTTTAAAACATATTTCAATAAAATATTAGTAAAATGTTCTCATTTAACTTTTTTTCAACTAAAAATAAAATTTTAATATATAATTAATTATTTATATTATAAATTATTTGATACTCAACACAAATAGAAACAAATTTTTTATTCCCTGTATAATTTTAAATTTATAGATTTAAAAAAAAAAATTATCTTGTGTTAGCCCCATGAGACTCAATGTTTATTATTTAATTTTATTGATAACAAATATATAATTTAATGTTCTAATGTAAACTAGAAACATAACAAGTTCAATTCAGCACAATCATATTTAATATAATACACTTTTATTATCTGAGTGCAAAAAATAGTCACGAAATTACTTCAAATAGATCATATCTGATGGAGTAGCTGCAAGAAGGAAGTATCCTTGGACAAGAAACAATTTAACAGTAACTCTAGATAGAGAAGTAAATTTTTCATTATGTTGTCTTCTTCCTCCCAAAACAGGTCATATAACCATTAACATGGATTAATACCAGCAATTACAATATTAAGATAAGCAAATTTATAAAAAATATTGTACTATGCTTAACAGAATGGTGGTAGTGGGCCGTTGAGCTTGGTGGTGTGGTGTCCACTGGAAAACGATATGAGAGAGGATGGTCGTATCAATTCTACTCTGGTCCAAAGAAGCTCAACTCTGACGAGATTTCTGTGATGTGCACGTTGTCAAGAGGGTGATAGCTATAGATATCCGCTACATTGAACCTGGGGAAAGTGTGGATATCAGGTGGAAGGTCTATCACATAAGCATTATCATTAATCGTGTGGATAATCATGAACGGACCAATTTTTCTAGGCTAAGCTTAGAATATGTTCCATGGGGATACCTTTCTCTACACATTCGCAACATTACCAATTCGTTAAGATTGAAGACTTTGCAGCATCGACGAGTGTCAGCTTGTTTCTTATACTTGGTAGTGGTCTCCTGGAGCTTTTTCCTCACAGATTGAATGGTTTCAGTGGCTTGTGCTACTATTTTGTTAATTGTTGATCTATTGCACTCTGGCAAGATGGCCAAGTTTACCAATTGGTTGGGCGGTTTGGTATACACGACTTGAAAAGGGTTGTAACCTATAGAGCAGTTTGACAATGAGTTGTAGGCAAATTCTGAGTGACTCAGAAGATCTTCCCATCTCTTAAGATTTTCTTGAACGAGGCAGCAGAGCATATTACCAAGGGCGCGATTAACAACATTAGTTTGACTGTCAGCTTGTGGGTGATAGGATGAACTTAATTTGAGATCAATGTTTAATCGCTTCCATAACTCTCTCCAGAAGTGACTTACAAATTTTATGTTACGGTTGGATGTAAGGCTACAGGGAAATCTGTGCAACCTTATGATTTCCATGAAAAAGAGATATGTAATATTGATTGTTTCAAAGGTTTTCTTGCATGGAATAAGTGCTTAATTTTAGAGAATCGATCGACAATGACCATGATTGAATCGGCTCCACATTTAGTTTGTGGCAGACCCACCACAAATCAACTATTAAATCTTGCGAAATGGAATCAGGGATTCGAAGTGGCAATAAAGTTCAGTATTTTGGGCCGTACCTTTGAATGTTTGATAGACAGAATATTTTTCTATAAACCTGGTAGGACATCTCATAGCCTATATCCTTGAAACCAAATACCAACTTCAATATCCTGTTCCTCCCAACCTCCCAATTCTCTTCTACTCAAACAGCTCCTTCAATACCCTTCACAGTACTCGTCTCCACCCAGGGGATGAGGAACCTCGTGGGGCTGAGGAGAAGGAGGCTCCCACTCCCGCTCCTGTTCCCGATCCTACTCCGCTTAGACAGCACTCACAGCTTGACCAGTTAGTGGAGAGGTTTGATCATTGGGAGACCCGCTTCGACGCTTACGTTGCTGCACAGGAGCAGCAACATTCTAAGGACTTGGCCCGCTACGAGCAGCACCGCACAGAGGACTTAGCCCATTTTGATAGCTACATTACTCACTAGTAGCAGCAGCAGGACCAGGATGTCGCCTGGTTCAATGCTCAGTTTATTACGCTAGCCAGCTACTTTCACCAGGCTCCACCACCTCCATCTGATGATCAAGGTCCCTCATTTTTTTAGTCTTTATTTTATGTTTTCTATTTTCTATTTTTAGTTTTCTGTAGTTTATCTTGTAGTTTATTTTAGTCTCTATTGTGTTATTTCCTTTTTCTTTTTATGTGACTAGGACCCACTTTTTATGACAAAAGAGGAAGTAGGATGTGGTAGGAAAAGTTGATGTGCTTGTAACTTTGAAAGTTTAATAAACTGCTATTTTTACTGAGATTTTCCTACTTGTGTTTGCCATCATCAAAAAGGGGGAGATTATTGCAAATCTATTTTCATGACTTATGTTTTGATGATTGACAAACACTATTGATTCTCTTGGACTACATGTTACTTCTAACTTTTCAGGAATCGAAGATCGGACGAACAAACGAAGCCAGTTCAAGATTGCATAGGTTAGGATTGAGTTAGTCTGTACTTTGCTTTTTTCTCTTCTTGAGTCTATTTGTAATGTTCAAAGAGACTGATGCTAAGTAACCCTACACACACACACTTGAGAGACTTAGAAATTCTGTTTTTACTCAAATCGGCCTGGACGATCTAGCTTAAAATAGAAATTCTAATTAGGGATTCTTAATTAAGGCAGCCGTCAATAACAAATCGTCTTGGACAATACGTGTATCGGCTAGGACGATAAGCTCAAAACAGAAAGAAATTGCCGTCATAAACAATTAAGGTATTCTGTATTTTTGGAAATCAGCCAGGATGATCTTGGATCGTCCTGGACGATATTCACAATTATGCCTTAATTAATAAGACAAATCAAGGAAGTAATTAAGGATGATTGATACGATCACATCGTCCTGGACAATCTCAGGATCGGCCAGGATGATCTATTCAAAAATCTTAGTTACTCCTGGACGATCGGGATCGGCCAGCTTGAATTCAGGGCGGTGCTCAGGATGATTTTCCTCTGATTTGAACTGATCGGCCTGGATAATTGTGAGATCGGCCAGGACGATCAAGCCAATTTTCAAATCGTCCAGCTTGTATTCAGGGCGGTGCCCCGGCCGATCTCATGGGATTTGTACTGATCAGCCAGGATGATGTCAATATCATCCTGGAGGATATAGTCGGCAACTTGCAATTAATGAGCTCCTTTGAAGCTCTTCTATTTAAGAGCTCTTGTTCAATGTTTTTGAACAATCTTTTACTGCTATTCCGCATTAATTTCTTGTGGTGTGATTTGGTTTGTGATATTGCTTTTGTTGAAAAGAATTTTTTAAAATACCAATTCACCCCCCTCTTGGTTAGCTTGGGACTAAGTTCATAGGGCTTAACATCCCTAACGAACTTTCAAGTTGTATCAGAGCACTGTCTAGTGTCATCTGAGCACTTTCACTTTTCTTAAGAAGTTCATAAGGTTTCTTGTTCAAACTAGATCTAATATTAACCCTATTTAAAACATAACAATCCATACTAATCGCTTCAGAATAGAAATATTTTCGAAGTGAATATTCAGCCAACATGGCTCTAGCAGCTTCTATCAAATTTTTTTTCTTCCTTTCAACAACCCTTATTCCTTGGTCTTTATAAAAAAAATTTAAATTTTTTATTTTCAAATTCTCCTCCAATATCACTTTAATTTTAAAGAATTTCATAACGTAGCTTCCTCTGAATCCAAGTAAAATATTTTTCTAAATTTATCAAATGATTCACTCTTATATAATACAAATCTAATCTAAGTGAATCTTGAATAAACATCAATAATTACATACCCAAAAACTTTCCTTCCTAAACTTATAGTGCTAACCGGTCCAAAAAGATCTATGTGAATGACTTCTAGTGGTTTGCTAGTTCTAATATTCTTAATTGAATGAAAGGAGGACTTGACTTATTTTCATAATTGACATACATCACATATGTGATCCTTAGTGAAGTATAATTTAGGTATACCTCTAACCAATTCTTTTTGGGTAATCTTCCTAAGATTTTTTATGCTAGCATGACAAAGTCTTCTATGCTATAAATAAGATTCATCATTTATAGTTTTGAGATGAAAAGCATTAGAATATTTAACATAATTTAAATCAAGCATGTATATTTTATTTACCCTATTTCCATACAGCACATCAACTCCATTTTTGCTTATAATGCAGCTTATATGTAAAATTTTAATGTTAAAATCTCAATCACAAAGTTGACTAATACTTAACAAGTTATATTTTAAGCCTTCAACCAATAAAACATTCTTAATAAAGAAATTATTCTTATTACTAATTATACATGTACCTATCACTCTCCTAGTGGTATTATATCACAGTGTCACTTTGCCTATAGCCCTAGCCTCCAGTGAGATGAATTGAGTTATATCTCCAGTCATATGTTTCGAATATTCACTATCCAGGTACTAAATGCTTTCATGAGGGCTTATATGAGAGCTTTTTTACAAAATTATCAAACATTATACTTAGGAACCCAAATAAATTTGGGTTAACCTCTTAACAATGAAAATATATATATATGCACGTTTGATATGCTATGATTAATGCATCTTAGGTCTCCACATTAGATATGTTCTACTATGAATTATGTAAGTATAGGAAGTAATAAGAAGTATGTCATATCATTCCACATGAAAAACATTTAAGACTAGGAAAATTATTTACCAATCTATTTGAGTTATAATATCTTTTCTTAAATTTTAAAATTATATGCTT